CTTTTTGAACATTAAAAGTGTGTGTCATGGTGATGGAGTGCCTCCTCGGGAGTAAGAGTTTTCATCCTTGACAATCTGGTGCAAACTAGGCCGTCGAACTAGACGAGATTGTTTCCCTTCATGAAATTTTCCTGCGCCACGTTGAGTTCTTTTAAATGGACGGCAACTTATTGATATCAAGGGATTTATTTACTTCCTTCTATTTCGAAGGAATATGTTGTATGATTCAGAAGTGTAACCCACAATATGATCTTGATTACATCGCTATATATATATATATATAATAACAAAAAAGACACTATCAAAAGATTGAGGTCTTCACATTAGTATTTTACGGTGATGAGTAAAACATGCGTAGCAGTTGGTTACTACCGCGTTTGGGACAAGATCCACAACCACTGGGCTTACAATGAGAAAGAAAGTCGTGAAGTGACCAAGTGCGGATACCGAACCAAATAAAATCCTTTATAGTGTTAGACCACAATAAAATAAAGGGTGAAAAAGATTTCCTTTACCACATCTATTTAAAGAATGATACAAATGGGTGATAAGTTTCAGCCTCCCTTAATCAATTGTACTATGGTGACATATGAAACCCAGGTAGACGACGGGAAAGTTATGAAATTCTGGAGCCGGAACACAGTTTCTGCCAAATGACCATTACACGGCAAGGACGTTGTACTTACAGCTCTCTGAGATATAGATTATCTCTGAAAGTGTCTGAAGGCAATTCCTTTAGTTGGTTATAGGACAAGTCACTACAAAAGCAGAAACAAGGAAGTTTTGTGAATCTTATGAACTCGCTGATAATCGATTTGAGGTAACTGGGTATGCTGATAATGAATGTGTTGTAAACTGTAGGCTACGAGCAGTCTCTTTTTCGGCGAAGTTCGGTGCTCGAAAAGAAGGGAAATCAGACTAAACAAAAGTGATAAACGTCTGCTTCGAGCTCATAACGTAAAACTATTACTGGCTATCGGCTTGAAAACGTAGATCGAGCGTATGCCGTGAAATTCGGTGGAAATCAATGCTTAAAACCACTACAGAGAATAGCATGATTTAGAAAAAAACAAAACAAAAACAAAAGGTCAAAACTTATGGAAAGTCTATGGAACAGCCACGTAAGATACTTAGAAGTATATGGTGGTTCGTACTTACAGACTTTTTAATCCGTGAAGCTGACCAAAAATTCTGGATGGCAAGTCCTTCAACTGGTTATCAGACAGGTCGCTATTTTTTGATAAAAGATCACAACTGAGCTTTAAGGTGTTAAGGTGCCAGATATTACCGTAGAAATCCCATTCAAGGGCTTTGATTACCATCCCCAGACCAACCCGCTTTGTTGGCAAAAAAAAAAGAAAGGAATAGTTTCCTGACACTTAATAGGACAAATCTTTTTTGTTATTAGAGAAATCACAATTTGGACCAGGTCTTAGTAATTATTAAGGTGTTAGCCTTGAACTCTCAACAGAACGGAGTTCTTAATCGATAAATATGTAGGGGAGTTGCTAATTCAAATTGCTCTCTTAGATACTTTTTTTAAATAGGAGTGGAATTGCATTAATTTCAAGAAGCCTCCCCTGCTTCAACTTTGTTGATATATCCAAATTATTCCCCTGCTTATAGCCGAATTTGCAAAAGTTTTCATTGCTTCACGGGGGAAAAACGGCCGACAAGTCGTATTTTGATTTTATGGATTTTTTACAGAGAAGTGAGGTGCGATGGAATTTTTTGACATAATTCTTCAAAAAGGTTCCTCCAAAGGGTCATCTAGGAAAAATAAAATGAATTATGAACTTCTTCAACTGTCGCTGTATTCTCGATATTTATGATCAGTGGCTCTTAAAATCATTTCAGATTATGAAAGTATTGAGGAAAACAAAAAGAAAAGTCCAAACTTATGGAAAATCTATAGAGCAGCCACTTAAGATACTGAGGGGTATAGGGTGGTTCCTACTTACAGACTTGTTAATCCGTGAAGCTTATCAAAAACACCGGATGACAAGTTCTTTAGCTTGTTATCAGACAGGTCGCTATTTTTAATAAAAGATCACAACAGAGTTTTAAGGTGCTAGATATTACCGTAGTAATCCCCTTCATGGGCTTCGTTTATCATCACTTGACCGACCCGCTTTGTTGGGAAAGTCAAAAGAAAGGAAAAATTTCTAGACACACAATATGATGATACGTTTTTTCTTTTTAAAGAAATCCCAATTTGGACTAGATCTCAGTTAGCTATGAGTAAGGTATTAATATGTACTCTCACGTTACCATTCATTAAATAAGTAGTGTGGCAGGACTATCTGCTGGGACACAAAATCTGAAAGTGGGATTGCATCGCTTTGTGGCGCGCGAAATTGTCGAAGTTGCATAATTTTTCATTGTTTTACGAGGGGAAAACGGCCATGTAGGCGTAATTTGAACTTTTTGATTTTACTCGGCGCTAGAAAAGAAGGGAAATCAGACTAAACAAAAGAGTTAAACTTCTGCTTCGAGCTCACAACGCAAACCTATTGCTGGCTATCGCCTTGAAAACGTAGATAGAGCGTAAGCCGTGAAATTCGGTGGAAATGAATGCTTAAAACCATTACAGAGAATAGCATGATTTAGAAAAAAACAAAACAAAAACAAAAGGTCCAAACTTATG